AGAGGGCACATTCTGCATGGAGCACTGGGTGTTATGAACAAACAATGAATCATGGAACACTACATCAAAAACTAATAATGTAATATATGGTGATTAACATAACAATAAAAAAATTTTTAAAAAATGAGATCCTTGAGAAGTCTGTTACTCATGATATTGGCACTCATAATAGATCCAGAAGGATACTACACAGGAAGACTAACTTCTGCTCAAATACGGTACGCTGGGTTACAGAGACCTAGCAAAACTGTCTGATGCCCCTGAAACCCTTTAAATCTAATACAAGGAGGCCAACTTCAAGATGGATGTGGAAGACAGGGCTTCCTGATTAAAGAGAACATGACCTGGTCAAATTACATGTGATATTACTGTCATATTTCTCTGTATCATAGGTCAGCAAACGGTTTCCAGAATGAGCCAGATGGTAAATATTTTCAGGACCAAAGGCAATCCTGACTCTTGCACAACTACTCAACTCTGCCACTGTAGCATGAAAGTAGCCATAGGACATATGTAAACAAATGGGCATACGTTCATGCTCATGGCTGTGTTTCAATAAAACTTTATTTACAAAAACAGGTACAGGGTTTGCTGATTCCTATTAGAGTTGATGATACGGCTGAAATATAAAAAATATTTTTAACTCTTTGGCTTTTAAAATGCCTCTTATGCATTTTTTTTAAGGTGCAGTAATATACAGTAGGTTAATGATTTTGTTCTGGATCAGAACTGGATTTGAATTTTTGCCCTGCCCCTAATTACCTGTGTGACACTAGGCATGTTACTTTACCTTCTAAGCCTTTATTTCCTTATCAGTAATACCAGTTATGATATTATGATACTTATTTCATTGTTTGCTGTGAGGATTAAATCAAAAAATATGTGTCAAGCCCCGAGTACCACTCCCTGATAATGGTACCTATCTCAAGCATTTACATTGTCCTGGAAAAGGCCACAGTCATCAGCAGGAAAGCCTAGCACTACCTTGCCTGCCTGCCTATGAACTATGAGGAGAGTTACACTCCACAGGGTGGTTCTGACCATTATAAAGTTCAGCTCCTTAGAATTTCTACCCCTAACTGACTTTCTCAGGGTCTCACAAGCTTCAAGAGATAGATTCAGTAGCACCTTGGTTACCTAATAGTTACTTTTAAGGATAAAAATTCAGGTAATTGCTTTACGCAGGTCTGCAGAGGAAGGGAAACTGAGACCTTCTTACACGTTTTTAAACCAATGTAATATTGTCATTCAGTTGTGCTTGCTCACAGGTTAGTTTTCCTCCTGGTAACAAGGGCTCCCTTGTCTTTGATTTTCCAATGATTAGCACATTGGGTAGCATGCACCAAGCACTTACTAAATACTTTTTGAAGGAATGTTGGCAACTGGAAAAAATGAGTTGAGGAACCAATAGAAGATAAAAGTATATGCCTGTGACTCTCGGGGTATTTCCTTGGGACCATGATTTCCCACCCTTATATCCAGACCCTTCCAGGGATAGGACTAGTCTCAAAGCAAAGAATCATTTTCTCTAGTTTCTTTTCAGTGCTGGATAAAAGCCAATGTAGATCTCATTCTATACACTCAGTTGAGCAAGGAATGTAACAAGATTTTTCTATAACCCAACTAAAATTTTGTTTCATACCTTTACTCAGTGGTAGGAACTTTAATCCAGTCAACAGCAGTTGCCCTTTTGTGCCCAATCATCGTGTCTAGGGCATGGTGGAGTCCGGGATTCATCTAGTCCTTGGACATTGCCCATCTCGGGAGGCATCCCGGAGAGGCCCGTCACTGTCCTGCCTGGCCCTGGTCATCAGGCACGCCAGTGTCCCATTCCTCCTTGCTACAGGGGCCGTTCTTCCAACACTGTGCTCTTTCTGCCGTGTTCCAGAATTGACTCTGTCCTTGGTGTTCTGTTGTTTTCCTTCCTTAAGGCAGTAGGCAGGAATGTCCTAGGTGATTTATGAAAGAAGGGCAAGGCAGGTATATAGAAATGTGCTGGAAGCAAACACACCAACAAAACTAGTTAATATTGCAAAAGTGCTCTGCCACATAGCTCGTTCAAATTAAGATGAATTGGACAAGGGAAATACATACCTGTGTGCAAATAGTCTGCTTGGCTCCCAGGTGCAGGACTGGACCAAAGGGGAGAAGACATTGGTAAATAGATTGGGCTTGTATAGGAAACAAACAAAGCAACGGAACATGATGCATTTAGAGCTATCCATAAATATAAAGAGCTGCCTTAGTAGCCATTGGGTTCCTGGGCAGAAAATATTCAGCGGAGGCTCAGTGATGGTTTAAGTGATGCTAGATAAGAGATTTACAGCTTGGGGGAGGGTTGGAATAAATTGTCTTTAATATTTTCCCAGCTGTGCAAGTTTTGTGATTCTTTAGGAGCTTATGTGTATGTGTGTGCATGTGTACATGTGTGTGTGAGTGTGTGTGTGTGTGTGTCTGCTTTTGGTTTGATGTTGTGGCTACAAGTCCCCTAAGAGCTGCGCTATTATCTTGTGTGACCTCAGATAAAGTTCTTCACCAACCTGCTTGTTTCCTCACCAATAAAATTGGGATAACAATGCTTATTGTGTATTTGGAGGATGACATTAGGCAAAACTCTTTGCAGGGTGACTGAGGCGTTTTGAATACTCGATAACAAGTAGATAAATCTTGATAGCAATGCTTAACTAGATGCAACTGTTCAGTCCTCCCAAAACTTTTGAACACTGCTATTTTCAGGGTTTCTAGAAGCAATACACTTCTTGGATAATGTGGGCCAATTTTGAGAGAAGTGCCACTCGGACTCAGATATTAATTATAATGATAATTGCAGCTAGGTTCCCAGAGCCCTTGCTCCTTCACGTTTCCATAAGGTAGGTAGAATTGTCACCCAGATAAGGAGACTGAGCACACAGCTGATGACTGGCAGAGTTTTCATTTGAAGACAGATAATTGGCTCTGTCATCAGGCACTGCACTCCATCTGCTACGGACTTGTGGTGTATATTAGTCAAGGTTCTCCAGAGAGCCAAGAGGACACGTATATATATATATGTGTGTATGTGTGTGTGACAGGTCGGGAGAGAGAGAGAGATTTTAAGGAATTGGCTCATGTAATTGTGGAGGGGTGATAAATTCAATATCGGCAGGGCCAGCTGGAAACCCAGGGGAAAGTTGCAGTTCAAGTCCAAAGGCAGTCGGCTGACAGAATTTCTTCTTATTCCCGAGGTCAAGGTTTTGCTCCCTTCAGGCCTTCAACTGACTGGACGAGGCCCACCCACGTTATGGAAGTAACCCACTTTATTTGAAGTTCACCGATTTAAATATTAATCTCATCCCAAAAATATGTTCACAGAAACATCCAGAATAATGTTTGACCAAATATCTGGGCAACCCATGGCCCAGCCAAGCTGACACATAAAACTAACCACCATGTTGTGGTTCTCCACAAAAATCCACTCTAGTTCCTCCCTAGCTCTCCATGTCCTGGCAATCAGGTAACACAGCAAGTGAGTTGATTCTAAAAAGAATTTTTGAGATTCTAAGATAAAAAGTGCTATATAATTACTCAAGTATTCTACTTCCTTCTCCACTCCCTACCCCCTTTTCTTTGCTTCCCTGCCCCCCTTCCTCTGGGTTTTAAAGGAGGTTGGAGAGAGACAGAAGTTTCAACAGGGATAGTTTTGCAACCTGATACCACAGCATGTTGCAACACTATGATGCTTGAGGCAAATGTATCTAAAAGACAAATTCCATTTTAAGTGCATACACTACATAATAATTCAGCACTTAACATATCTTGGTACTTTGATGTCTTTATGGGTGCTTTTCTCCCTGCTTCTCAGGTTTACACTTTCTAATATGTAGCAGAGTTTGAAGAATTAAAGTTGAGTCCCTAGTTTTCTCTGGGTGAAGTTGCAAACCTGTTCACATATGATTATTCACACCATAGCTTCATTGCAAAAGGGACTAGGGCATCTGTGGCAACTGCAGCCACCACCTTCTCAGTCCCTTTGGCCAGCAGTACATTTGCCTATTCAGATATAGAGAAGAAGCCATGTTCTGCTCTCCCCGTGGAGAGTCGTGGGCCTGGAGTGACAAGTACAGAGAGAGGGCTGCCTATTGGAACGTCTGGGGCAGGTTCCCATGGCCAGCCTGCGGTGGTTCTGATCATATTTCAGATCGCATGCTTCTGCTGAAAAGGCAAAAGATGATTTCTCAATATCAAATCAGACTAAAAGGACACTTGCTAATTGCTATATGAGTAAGTTATGGTAAGTTACTAATAAACAATACTGACTTAACTTGCAAAAAGAAAAACCCTTTTGAAATCAATTTTTATTCAAAACCATGAAAACACGCAAATAAATCAAATATCCATCCACGAGCGAATGGATAAACAAATTGTAGTATATCTATGTAATGGAATACTGCTGAGAAGTGAAAAAAGAACAAATCGTTACTACATGGGGCAACATGGATAAATCTCAAAAGCCTTATACTAAGTGAAAGGAGCCAGGTACAAAGTACTACATAAGGTATGATTTTCCCAATATGATATTCTGGAAAAGGCAAAACTCTAGGGACAGAAATCAGATGAGTGACTGCCAGGAGCCAGAAATGGTAGGAATGGGCTGACCCCAAAGGGGCATGAATGACCTTTTTGGGGTGATGAAACCATTCCGTATCTTGATTGTAGCGGTGGTCACAGGACTGTGTATGTTTGTCAACATTTGTGGAACTGCAACGCCTCAAAAGCATGAATTTACTATATATAAATTATGCCTCAATAAATGTGATGTCGAAGAAAAAGATGCAAGATGATGCAAACATCTGGAGAGAGCCAAAGACAAGGATTCCCAGCAAATTGTGAAAGAATGGCAATTGCTAACCCCTCGTGCTCTCCCAGACCTGGAGTGGGGGGAGGGGGGAGGAAGAAGGAGGAGGAAGGGAGCAGTGAGGGCCAACCCTATTCTCCACCCAGTTCTAAATGCTTCCGCCAAGATTCGCCAGTGCATTGATTTATTTATCAAACACTCTCACTATCTCTTTGAAGGTGGAAAACATCAAGTCGGTGTTAACATTCTCGGTGCATGAAGAGACTGTAGGCATGATCCCCCCCGGAAGATGAGCCTCCTTCCCACTCCGGCTTCATAAGGGCACTAAAAGGACACCAGCCCAGTGAGTTTGGTTTCCCCCTTTCTGTGTCTGGACTGCAGCTCAGGAAGGTATAGCAGGGAGGCAAAAAAAAAAAAAAAAAAAAAAAAAAAAGACCTGTTTTTCATTTGCCTTGAAGGGCTACAAAAGCGGGGTGGGTGGGGTGCCAGCTAAGTTAGCAAAGGGGCTTCAGGGACAGGGACATGTCACTTTAAGTGCCAGCCAAAGTTGCGATTGGATGAAAAGGTGGGCACTGTTAGCAGAAACAGTATGATTAAATCCCAGTCGCTGTCAGACAGTGAGGGGAAGTAAAATCAGAGGCTTGACAGGGGCGGGAAGGGGGAGTTGGAGGAAAGACAGGAGCGGCTAGGTCTTTAGAGGTGGAATGGAACACCTCCCACTGATTGAGCAGTGGCTCCAGCCACTGAGCAACCTCTGAAATATAATTTAAAGATTTCCTCTCCTGGTGCCAAGCATAGCCCTCATTTGCTGGGGTTTTGTTTCTGTTTCCTTCTCCGCAAAATGGGGTCTTCCCACGGGGGGAATGTGTCTAAGTCCTTTGTTCCTGCTGCCGTGCGTTGGGATTGCAGTCGGCACCTTGCTCTGAGGTCCTCGGAACAATACAAGATCACCACGGCTCTTGGTGCATAAGATCGCTGCCTTTCTAAGCTGTGTGCTCTTTTCTTCCCCCAGGTGAGACCATTCACCTGGGCAAGTCAGGCGGTGATGCACGGTGGCCGGCACTGAGGGAGAGTTGGGAAGACTCTCTCAGAACCATCGACAGAAGATTACTTTTTACAGAGGGAATCCATTAGAGCCAATAAGAGCGCTACAGTTATCAGTAAGTCTAACTTCTAAGGAACAACCTACCTGTCCTGTCTCTCTCTGCTATGGTGTTTCCCTATAACCTAGTTCTTCACTGATGTCTTTTGACCCCTGCCCGCTCCCTTCCAAGTAGAGAGATAGAAGGTGAAAAGAATATATATTCTTCACAGTGTCTGGAACTTACTTTCTGTGTTCACACTGTGCTCGGTGCTTTCCGTGTATTATTTCATTGACTATTAAAAACAGCCCTGTGAGCACGCCCATTTTTCAAACAAGGATACGGAGACCTAGAGAAATTAATGAACTTGCGGAAGGGCCCTCAGCTATTTAGAGGATAGAGATGATAGTCAAGCCCACAGCAGTGCCAAAGCCAGAGATCCCTGCCACCGCCCCCCCCCCCAGCAAAGACTGCTGTATCCTTGTAAAGCCAAGCCATTCCTTTCAGAAGGAATGGGCATCTCTAAACATTGCCTTCTATCTTTCAAAAATATGCAGGAAATATGACTGGGGCTGGCTGAGATTCAAATACAAGCTCCACAACTTAATGGTTGTGTGAACTTGTGTCAATTGCTTGCTTTCCCCAACGCTGTCAACTGTAAAATCGGAATGATGATGCTTATCTTATAGAATTATTTTAGAGAATGAATGTGATAGTATGTATGAAAATAACTCAACAAATGATACTTTTTCTCCAAAGAATAATCCCCCCAAAGTTTAATTATTTGCTACTCCTACCCATGGCAAATTGACATGGAAAGAAGGCAGGACACATTTAAAGCAACTGATCTGTGTTTTTCAAACTTTTAGAGGTTTTAGGATGCCTAAAATCTGGTGAATGTATTGAGTGGTATATTGGATGTGAAGGAGGGAACAGAATTAGTATTGCCTTCTGCATAACCACCATGTTCTCAAGAAAGACCTACTCCAAGGAAGATATCATGACTGATACTGGACAAACCTTCCCATACACCCCCCTTTCCAAATCCGGCCCTTGCATGAAATCTTGATTCATCTGTACATCTGAAGTTGCAATCTTGTTTGTTTATAGGTGCTATATCCCATGAAAGACATAAGTGAACTGAAAACCATAATAGACTCAAAGAAGTTTGGAGTTAGAGTAATTTGTATATAGCATTAGGGAACACCTACATTTTAGTTCCATACAATGCAGGAATCTCTTCCATAATATCTTGATTACTTATCTGAACTCAAGTCCTTACATCCTATCCATGTGGGGAGCTTGCTGTCAGTGTCCGTAAACTTATGGAGCCTCCCTATGATTTACCCTCACTAGTCCTAGCTTTCATATAAACAAAGGCCCACTTCCATATTACCTTCTATCATGTATAGATGAAATATAATCCTGCTGCTCCATCTTTGCATCAAATTCTCTTTTCTGGGGGATACAGCTTCCAGACTCCTACTGTTTCTTATCAACAGTGTTCAGACTCTTGGCTCTGCTAGGCCTTAGCTCTGCCCAGTACCCCATCGCCCACCATTGCAATGGGGCTAAGATTGTCTTGACTTTTTGGCAGCCCATCACTTTGTGGCTGGCTTAACACTGAGCCTGTAATGTGAGAGACTGCACAAGGAAAAGGTGGGGCCCCTGGCTCAGAAAAGTGGTGATGAGAACCAGGTGTCGTGGACTTGACCAAGGGAGAGAACCCAGGCTCTTCTCAGCACCCTGAATGTCGGCCCTGCTGTATGAGGCAGGACAAGCCTATGAAACTGATACACTATATAAAATCCAGAAGACCAGTGGATTAACTTAGAATGAGTGATAACTGCTTCAGGATCCAGAAATGACTTGGATTCAACACAATTTATTTTTCCCTCTTTCACACAAAGATATCATGGAATTCTTCGTCAAATGCCTCCATGAAGTCTGTAGATGCTCTATAGACTGCATGGTCTTCATCTACCAGCACGATAATCCACTGAATTCCTCTTCGGCTTCTTTATATAGAAATAATGAGCTTCTGCCTTTCTCTCAGGTATTCTGTTTGCATAGACAGCAAGAGAACGATCCTGGTGGAGAACAAACTTGGAAAGAGGACAGACTTGGACTAAATATTTTCTTGACAAAGATTGGCAGGGAAACCATCAAAGACTCTTAGACACACATATGGCTCTTCTTCTATGCCAGGCTCACTCTTACAGGTGAAGAGGGATGTGAAATGAGTGTAAATCAAGGTTTCTGACCTTTAGGCTGTGCCGGCCAAGGCAACGGCAAGAAAGAACCTTGTAAAGTGGTTAAGAACAATAGAAGGAGGCATGGAAGTGATGAAAGGGGACCAACGTAAATGGTATTGGAGGTCACAGTAGATTGTGCTGAGAGCCAAAGGACATGGTGGAGGTGTGGAGGGCAATGACCCAAGATGAACTTTGCAAGATGAATGGAATTTAGATGGGCCGGCAGGGTGAGAAAAGAGCTTTATAGGTAGAACTGATTAAAATAAAAAATACAGAAGGAAAAGCTCATCAGTAGGGTGAATGCATCTATCACTGAGGACAGATTTAAGGAGGCACGTCGATGGTGAACTAGGTACGGAAGCTGAGGGGAAGACCCAGAGAGATTTGAGGGAATCAGTGGGGTGCTTCCCTGGAGCCCAAAGGGGGAGTCGAATTACCCTTTGGAGGTAGAAACTGACAACATTTGGAGGAAGTACAATAAGTATTACTTTGCAAAGTAGTTGGAAACCTTATAGAACTTGTTAACCTTAAAAGATACAGACTAAATATATATATATAATATAATACATATATAATATATATATATTTCAAAAGTGTAAACACGACCTCGCAGTTTATACACAGTTGATAGGTTGTTAAGAGAAACTAGGGATGTGTCAGTATCCTGATCTGGTATTAGCATCACAAAGGGCAACAATATTTTTTCTTTTCTGAAGTCCATGAGATTACTCTCTAATGATAAAACCCAATGCAGCCAGTCTTGACTTAGATCTTTGACTGGGGATCTCATGACACACAGATGACATTTTTGAACACAAATGTTTTCTAACGGCCCCATCCCCCAGATAGGGTCATTTGCTGCTTACAAAGGGTCCAGTTTTCTTTGAAATAACAAGAACTGGCCTTATATTCTTTCTTCGTGGTCTTGGGAAGCCACTGCACTTTCTGGTCTGTACATTTCTAGATACTCCTTTTGAAAAGTCTTGGATGGTGGAATTTGGGATAAATGTTGAGAAGATCTTTCTGCTTTACTGTAACATTGGTTAAAAATAAGTGTACTATTAAACATGCTGTTTTCATAGATGATTTATTTTTGTATGGAGCGTCACCTTAGAGTATCTCAATTGTAGTTACTTTCTCCTTCTACACCACAGAGAGCCCAGGAGCTGTTGCTACATAATACTAATAACAAGTTCCAAAGTCACTCCTGAGTCCCTACTCCACACACACACACAAAAAGCAAATTCTGCTTTTTAATTTTTTAAAGTTTATTTATTTATTTATTTAATCCCTACACCCAATATGGGGCTCGAACTCATAACCCTGAGATCAAGAGTCCTATCCACTACCGACCAAGCCACCGAGCACCCCAGATTCTACTTTTTTAAACATTCGTTTTATAAAATTAAGGTGTTTTGGTTTTTTTGTGGTTTTGTGTGTGGGGGGGGTGTGAGCGGGAGATACACGTCTCTTACTAATATTTTATTTTTGAAATATTTAAATGCCATGAGAACCACAAAGCACAATTTTTATCACACTTCTTTTCTTCTAATAGAGAAACAAAATAAACACCTTGGAGGCTTTGATATTATGTTTAAAGGACAACGCATTTACATTTTTCACAAAAGTGTAAACAGGAAAACAGTGTGCCTGGCAGGGGAGGGCGGCTGAAGCAGACACTGGCACGAAGAACAGCGTCTTCAGTCACTGTGGCTAAGGGAATAGGAAATGCCAAAAAGGCCTTTGGGAGAAGCGTATTTGCTCTACACTTGCAGCAGCCAAAAGAAGCTTTGTTGCAAGCAATGGAAGGGTAAGGAATTGCCTAGACTCCAGAAGCTAATGTCAACTTGGTGATTGAACTTGCTGTCTACCCTGAGGGCAAAGGAAACCGTTTCTTTGCCGTGTGTATTGTCTTCAGGTTCTTAACCTCTAGGCTCAGAACAAGAGCAGGGAAGAGGTTAAGGGAATGAGGTTCAGCAGAGACCTCCAGCTTGGCTGCTCTGGGAGCTGCGAGTTTATTGGAGCTAATGACTCAGAACGGTTTTGAACTCTCTGCGGGGTTCATGTCTCCACGGCTTGCCCTGCATTTGGCACAGATACCCAAGCATTGGCTGGAATAACCATTATGATAATACGGTGGAGGAGTCCGTTTCTTTCCTAGTGATTGCCCTTAGGATGAGATGGAGACAAAACCCCCAATTGGTGATCGCTCTGATGTGGATTTTAATGGTTCTATAAATGATTAAGTTGGACATATTCCAAAGTGGAAAAGTCATGAATAAAATTTAAGATTTTTTTCCTTTCTCTTCTTTTATCCTTTCTTTCTCTCTGCCTTTCATTTTTTCCCCCTTGCCTCTCCTTGCTTACCTTACCTTACCCTTCCTCCTCCACCTCCTTCTTCTTTTCTGTTACGCTGTTAAGGAAACACCATGGGGTTCTCTCATAATATTGAGCTTTATTAAGGAAAGACCTGGAATAAAAAGGCCTGAATTGTAGTCTAAGCGTTCCACCACCTGCTAGGTGTATATCCTGGGTGCCCACACATTCTTTTTGAATCCCAGTTTTCTCATCTGTAAACTAGAACTCCGAGCCAGGAACAGGATTCAGCTCTCCTGACTCTCAGCCCAGTGCTCTGTGAGTTTACCCCAGGATCCTACTGGTGCTTTGCTCCTTGCCTCCATAACCCTCCTCCAGGTGTCTTTCCTGCAGACCCCTTAACCTCCGTCCTTTGCTTTGTCTGCATTCCCCGTGATGCCGGAGGGAACAGCTCACACGCCAGAAAAAGGGCTGGAACTTAGTTCTTCCAAATCCATACCAATAAATACCCTGATCCTGCAAGAGTATGACATTAAACCACAACAGAACAGATACCCTTACCCACATCCTGCTTCCGTGTCCCGCTTCACCCTTGCAACCTCAGCCACAATATCAATCATAGGGAAGACCCCGTTAACTCCCTGGGCAGTGGAGTTCCCCTGCTCTGTGACCTTACAGAGTATTGTTCCTTCCAACACCGGTCACAATCTGCCATCAAAAACGCACGATCCTTACACCTGAAACTAATATAATTATTATCTGGTAATTATACTACAATAAGAAAAATTGTAAAGAAGGGACTATAATTAAAAAGAACGCATGGTCCTGTTTGGTCGTGTAATTGCCCATACCCCCATGCCCCCCACTCCCCACTATACTGTCCAATTCAGAAAGTGAGGAAACCTCTCTGTTTAGCTCATCACTGTATCATCAGGGCCTTGCTTAGAGCCTGGCACAGGGGGTGTCCTCAATAAGAATGTTCTGAATGAGTGAATGAATGGATTTAACTTTCTGATACAGGCTCTAACAACACCCATCATTTATGGAGTGTAGTATATTCCAGGTCCTGTAGATTAATTGTTTGGTTCACTCCAAAATTCATATATTGAAACCTAACCTGCAAGGGGATGGTATTAGGAGGTGGGGTCTTTGGGAGGTGATTAGGCCATGAGAGTGGAACCCTCCTGAATGGGAGTGTTGTCCTTATAAGTAGACCCCAGAGGATTTCCTCACTCCTTCCACCATATGAGGACACAGCAAAAAGACAGCCTTCTGTGAATCAGGAAGGGGGCTCTCACCAGACATGGAAGCCGTCTTGATCTTAGACTTCCCAGCCTCCAGAACTGTGAGAAATAAAGGTTCGTAGTCTATGGCACTTTGTTATACCAGCCCAAGTGTACTAAGACACCGGGTTCTGAGCTAGGCATCTGACATAGCTTGCTTAATTCTCCAAACAGCCTCTTGAGGAAGGTACCACTTACTGTGTTTTACAGACAAGGAAATTGAAGCTAGGGAAAGCACCAAGAGGGAACATCCAGTCCTGCTTCCGGAGTCAGCAAAGGCTTTCCAAAGGTGGCGATGATCATGCTTATGATAATTTAATTCCTTCCAGGTCTGGCTGAAACCAAATTTAAGTGGCTGACCTTCTCTGGCAAGGTAGCATCTCAATAGGGAGAGATAGATAGACAATAGATAGATAGACAGACAGATAGATAGATAGATAGGTATCTAATGTATGTGATCACACAATTGATATTTATCAAGGGAGGCTCTATTAACTGTAGGAAATATCAGTTAATATGAGACATAACCACCTGGTATAGATCTGGGCGAAGCTGGTTAACTATGGAAGGTATGGGGGTTTTGTGCTTTTGCTCCCACCCCCACCTGCCACCACACTCAGGATAACCCCTTGGAGATCAGGAACTGTCCCCTTCTGGCTTTCTCAAGGTACCGATGCCAATTGGTCAAGCAGAGGTTTGGCTGTATTACAGCCCAAAAGATGTGGATCTCTGTATTATCTCCTCTGTCATACAATAACATTGTAATGCCTGTTCTTTCATTGAATTACAAACAAAGCAACACTATGCCCAGATTTGAAAAGTCACATTTATTTTCTTTCTGGACACTGGCTCTGTGGGATCATGCAAGTGAATGCTGCGGTCAGCCCCACTAGGACTCAGTCAGCTGAGTTGGAAGAGATTGTGTGTTTGTGGTTTTCTTTTTCTTTTATTTTCTTTCAAGAAAAGAGATTAGTGAATACATGTCTGTTTGAAAGCAAATTCCTTTTGGAGCAAAACACCAGAAACGTGCCCTGGTGATGAGTCCCCATCTTGTGAGCCTTGACCTACGGATGAGAATATTAGATAATAAAAGGTTTCTTTTGAGAAGAATCAGAGGTAAAAACTCTACAATTCCCTCATCTCACAAATGCACATTTTTCTTTTTCCCTTTTATGCCCTCGTGCTACATCTTTTTGGAAGCTGTTTTCTCATTCAAACAGCAAGTCTGGAAGAGCTGCAGGTGTCCCCTGGCCACTGCTTAAAAAGCCTACTTGTTAATCAGCCCCATCACGTGTCTTTTGACCCCTTTCCTGCCCCTCTCTTTACATGTCTCTCCCTGCCAGCCACCACTGCCACTTCTAAAAGGGGAAAAAATACTGAACAGACAGTCAAAAGAGCTATTATCCTAAAGCCTCCTTAACAAAGCGTGGGGCTTTCCAGTAAATTAGTTGAAGGTTTTGCTCCCCTCCCCCTTTCTAGATATGGTGGCCCCCTCCCCCCATTCATTGGTCACTGACAAAGATTGGTGGCTCTGCTACCTTCTGTGACCACTGCACATTCCACCAAGCATCCCTCCCGGAGCCTCTCAGCCACCCTCTCGATAGGTCAGAACCAGTTAGGGATGTAAATCCACAAGCAGATCGGCCTGACGCCACACAAAGTACAGCAAGGGGAATATTGTGGGCAATGCTGTCTGGGAGTTTAAACAAATAAAGAAACCACTTTTTTCCCCCTCCAGTCTTCTATACTTGGTTATTGACTGTCTGGCCATGCAAGTCCTCCCCACATGAGAATGCTAATTCTAGGACATTCTGACTTGGGGAGAAATAATTTGCTAGTAAGGGCCAGTGTTTGGAGAAGGCTCTGGGGGTGGACAGATAGGTTCTAGACAATCTATGTCAAGTACATAGTGTGGGCCTGAAATGGAAGGAAGGTGGCATGAATCTACAGGTCCTAGAAAGGAAGGTTTATTTGCTTCCCCCATGTCACCCTACCCCACCCAGCACAGAAACCAGGTACCATCTGTCCCTTCACTCAGTTCACGCTCTCAGAAACATGAAAAGGAGGAAGCGGGTAAAAGTGTTTTTGGTTTCGCCATGTGGTGGACCATGGAGAGAAGTAAGATGTCCCCAGAGTCACTTGTGCTGTACCAAAACGGGATTTTACTCCTAGAAAGGGCCAAAGCTAGTTATTAGTAAAATGCTCTAAGTGTCCAGAAGATTGTCTTTCAATCCTTTTGTGGTATATTTCCTATGGGAACCATAAGGAGAAAAGAAGGGAAAGAGAAAAGATCACCTCACTTTAAGGGTGAATAAGCAAACAGTTTGCATTTCAACAGGCTTATAAAATGAAGGCGGGGAAATCGGAGGGGGAGACGAACCATGAGAGACAACGGACAATGAGAAACAAACTGAGGGTTCTAGAGGGGAGGGGGCTGGGGGGAGGGTTAGCCCGGTGATGGGTATTAAGGAGGGCACGTTCTGCATGGAGCACTGGGTGTTATGCGCAAACAATGAATCATGGAACACTACATCACAAACCGATGATGTAATGTATGGTGATTAACATAACAATAAAAAATTTAAAAAAAAAACTTTACAGCAGATGGCAAAAGATGTGTTCTTTTTTAGATAAATAAAACAGGAAGGTGTCTTTTCTTCTACCATTGAACATTCCTTGGGAAAACTTGATTCAGAACATTGGCTTGCCTTTGTAAGTAAAAACCCCTTAGATACAGTCCATATAATGACATTCACATGGCTGGGTTTTGGCAAATGATGGCTAGGTCTCGGAGGTAATGTTACAAAGAAGCCTTCCGGTAGAAGTCAACAAAACAACGCAGAGGTCAAGACATTCAGAAGCCTACAGACCTAGCAAAATGCAAAACCGAAGCTGCCTTGGGGGAGACAAGGGGAGACAAGGGGAGACAAACGTTCAGCAGTGGGATGGTTGACGGTGAAGCATGTGATGTTTTCTCATCCATGATTTATCAGGCGGCAAATAGGCCTGGAGTTTCTGTGACCTTATAGAATTATGGATCAAGGTGTTTCCTACAGGAGTTTAAAAACTGATGGTCTTTTGAATGACTAAGGCTCACTGACTTGGAGATAACATGAGATTTGGGGCACCTGGGTGACTCAGTCAGTTGGGCATCTGACTCTTGATCTCAGTTCAGGTCTTGATCTCGGGGTTGTGAGTTTGAGCCCCGTGTTGGGCTCCACGCTGGGTGTGGGAGCCTACTAAAAAAAAAAAAAAAAGAAAGAAAGAAAAAGAAAACACGAGACTTCTCAGACCTGTTTCATCTTTCAGACATAGGCAGTTCACTTACAGAAATAGAGGTGTTTCTCTCAATGTCTCTCTCAATTATATGAAATATACACAACATAAAATATGCCAGTTTTACTTTTTAAAATGTAGAGTCCTATGGCATTAAGCACATTGAAATTGCTGCCTAACTATCATCACCATCTGTCTCCAGAACTTTTCCGTCTTCACAAAAGAAACTGCACCCATTAAACAGTAATTCCCCACTCACGCTCCCCCCACGCTCCCCCCATCCCCAGCAACCACCATTCTGTCTGCTCTCTCCACGAACTTGACTACTCTAGGGACCTCACATAAAATGGAATCATACAGCAATTTTCCCTTTGTGACTGGCTTATCCCACTTGGCGTAACGTCCTCAAGGTTCATCCGTGGTGTAGCA